TACACATAGCCTAACGCCATTTTGTGTCTTGACAAAAGACAGGGTTTTATGGCTGCAAGCAATTATTATTTTCATTGATTGATAAATTGAATACTAAAAAATGTCCCAATACCTTAAAGCACAGAGTTACATTTTCAGATATTTGTCAGTGCAGTATAGAGCAAGATTTACTATCAGGATAATAAAAATATTATTGAAGTTTGACATCTACTGTCCTCTACATGTCTTAGATATGATGTAGAGATCGACCACAGCCGTAGACCCGCTCTGAGAAAGATCATGGAAAAGGACGACACATCAGCCAAGACCCTGGTTCTCTGTGTTTGCGGGGTCGGCTCCAGGGGTCACTCCTCGATCGGACCGAGTGGCAGTGACACCAAGACTCCACAAGGGGCAGATGCCAAGGTTGAACACCCATCTGCAGTAGTTTGGCTGACAGATGGATGGTACGCCATTAAAGCTCAGCTGGATGAACCTTTGACTGCCATGCTTCACAAAGGTCGACTGGCTGTCGGTGGGAAACTGATCGTCTACGGGGCTCAGCTGGTGGGATCACAAGATGCTTGTTCCCCTCTGGAGGCGCCTGAATCTCTCATGTTAAAGGTGCAAGGAGACAACAGGTTGTTCTGTCTTTCAGCGACTTCAACAAAGATGAAATGGTGACTTATTGTCTGTGTTTTTAGATTGGTGCCAACAGCACCAGACCTGCACGGTGGGATACTAAGCTGGGATTTCACAGAGATCCACGGCCGTTCCTGCTGCCTGTATCGAGTTTGTACAGCAATGGAGGGCCAGTAGGATGTGTGGACATTACCATACTGAGAAGCTACCCCATACAGGTGAGTTAAGTCTTCTACTGATTTACTCCTTTCTCCAGGAAGTTTGTGCTTAGATTCCTTTTGTCTATTTGTTTTTCTTGGTTTTTCCAGTGGATGGAGAGGAAACCAGATGCTGGCGTTGTGTTTCGTTCTGTTCGTGCAGAAGAGAAGGAGGCGAGGCGACACAGCAGCCAAAAACAGAAGTCCATGGAGATTCTTTTTGCCAAAATTCAAACAGAATTTGAAAAAGAGCAGAGAGGTAGGAGTGTTTTTCTTATATTAAGTACAGACTAAAATGGGCGAGGTTTTAACAAGTTGTTTGATCATCAGGTAACAACAAACCTCAACGCAGAAGACGCACATTTAATCGCCAGGATATTGCAAATCTGCAAGATGGAGAGGAGCTATATGAAGCAGTGGAGGATGATCCAGCTTACTTGGAGGTGATAGAGAATGTACCTTACTCGTCTTTGACTCGATTCTCTCATAAATAGAGTTTTAGTCACATACCTTTCTTACTTTTGTGCTGTAGGCTCATTTGAGTGATCAACAGTTGGAGACTGTTCAAACCTACAGACGCTCTCTGATGGAGAAGAAACAGGCTGAGTTACAGGATCGATACCGTCGTGCTCTAGAAGGAGAGAGCGGTGACGGGACCTGTCCCAAACGGGACGTCACACCTGTGTGGAGACTCTGCATTTCTGACTCTAGGGACGAGACGGGCAGTGCGTCTTCATTTTTCTTCTTTTTTTGACCCATCAACATCTATTTCAACTTCTTATCAGTTGTGTGTTCAAATACTGGTTGTAATCATTTTTTCTTGTTTCTAGTTTACCAGTTGAATCTTTGGAGACCTTCCTCAGATCTTCAGGCTTTACTGAAAGAAGGCTGTCGATACAAAGTTTATAACCTCACCACTTCAGAGGGAAAGAAACGCAGCGGAATGGAAACGGTTCAACTCACTGGTACAAAGAAAACACAGTTTCAGGACCTGGAGGTACGGTCGCAAACTGCTGTTCATATTTAGTCAATCAGATGGATGGTGAAAATATTGTTCAGATAAAAATGTTTTGTTTTATCATTCAGGCCCAGGAATGGTTATCAGCAATTTTTCAACCGAGGGTTTCTACCAGTTTCGTGAATCTTCAAAACCTAGAATTCCAGCCGCTGTGTGGAGAGGTTGATCTCACAGGATATATCATCAGTATCATAGATGGACAAGGTAGATGATTTATTTATGTTTTACCAACTGTTTCTTTCATAATCATACGCTTTACTAAATCCTTGTTTTTACCTTTGAACACAGGATCCTCTCCGGCGTTTTATTTGGCTGATGGAGAACTGAACTTTGTTAAAGTGCGGTGTTTCAGCAGCTTTGCTCTGTCTGGCCTGGAGGATGTTGTAAAACCACGTGTGCTGTTGGCTCTGAGCAACCTGCAGCTGAGAGGTCAGTCCCTGGCTCCCACTCCTGTTGTCTACGCTGGAGATCTGACCGTCTTCTCCACGAACCCCAAGGAGGTTCATCTACAGGAATCCCTCAGCCAACTCAGAAACCTGCTGCAGGTACACTCCACAAATCCAAACACTGCTGACATGCTCCAAAAAATATAGTTCTGATACGATAGAGGTGCAGATTAGACAGAGGAAACTGGAAATGCTGAAAATAGACAACACTGTTTCTCAAATTTGAAGTTACTATTGTCAATCTTTGTTTCATATTGACCTCTAACAAGTTTTGAATGCCTTGTCTTATTTTCACACTTGAAACATATCAACTTTGATCAGAATTCTACAGCCACACTAAAATGCTTAGATGTGTGTGCAGAAGTATGTGATAAACATTTAATCAGAGCCGGGAATCATTGTTAACAAGGGTTTACTCTTCTCTGACGTAAACCATGCAGAGCTCTTATTTTTCTCTTCTCCATCCAACTGTCCTTGGTTTGGAAACAACAGACTGTAATTTTCATCATGTGTTTTCAGGATCAGCAGAACTTCTTCCTAACTGCTGAGGAGAAACTTTTAAATTTACTCAAGTCCGATGGCCTGAGTTCCATCTCTTCTCCAGCTCTCCACCCTCGAACCCCAGCTTGTGCAACTGACAGAAGACAAGACGCCAAGACAAGCGTGAGTTTCTGCACCTGCTGTTGTATTTGTGCTTTTTAAATACATTTGTTCTCATAACAAATCGTATTCTTCTTATTCTTACTCTTTTTCTATGCAGCTGATCGCTCAGCAGCCAATCAGAAGCTTTGGATCCTTCACACCTGTCAGCAAGAATCCATCTGCACCAACGTCTTTAACAGAGAAAGACCCCAAAAGCCTGAAGAGGAGAAGAGCTCTGGACTATCTGTGTCGTATCCCGTCTCCACCGGCACTCTTTCATCTGGGCTCGGTGGCTTCTCCGTGTGTGAAGAAGACGTTCAACCCTCCTCGGAGGTCTGGGACACCAAGCACTTTAATAACAGAACAGACTCCAGCTCGCAAACCTGTCGTCTCACCAAAGGAAGATGAATGGGTGAATGACGAGGAGCTGGCGATGATTGATACTCAGAAGTTGTGTGTTGGTGATTTAATGTAGATACATAAGACTGTATGATGATGAGGACGCTACAACTCTGGGAAAAACTGTACAAATGTGAATGTAAAGGCTAACGGATGTATATGGTTCATATTCTGTGGGATGTTTTGTCTCACAGGACTTAATTAAAAGTATAAAACGGTAAAATCATGTCATCACTTTCTATCGATCTTCTTTTCTCCTTTTTTGTCTGTAATTAGGTTTGACAGGCTCAGAATTCCACTTAAGCTCTATAATCCCTTAAATTTACTTTGTTTGAGGTCAAATAACAGCTCGGTTGAATGTCTACTGTTAACACCTGCAGACACTCAGTCTCTTTAAAGTCAAAACTTAACTGATATTGCAGAGCAATGGGAGGCTCAAGACCATTTATTTGTTAATGTATTTTATCCTAAAAAGTTCTGATTTGAAAACAAAGAATCCTCAATAGTAAAGTTGTTGATGGTTAGTAACTGGGGCACATTTGATTTTTCAACTGCGGCTCAAACAACAAACGAAAGCAGATGAAAACTTTTCCTGCATGTTGTAAAGAAACAATGGTACAATGTGACACTTACAGGACGATGCATTTTATAAGGTAGTTGGAACCAACATGATGAACCTATGATTATCTATCTTAAACTCTATCCAACATAAAGTCTTCACCTATGTAAAGATCCTATCTTTCCCTTGATCTATAGAAATAGATACAGAGTTTTTTTACTTTATGGTTTAAGATAAGATTAAGTTATACTGAGGGAGTGAGGGGGAAAATAAAGACTTTAATTAAGCTGAATAAATATGAGTGAATAATTGACTGATCTAAACAATGCTCTTTATTTTCTATTTTCTTTTAGTCATACGTGAAGCAGATCAGTATTAGAGCTCAATGGATTTAACTGGGTGGATGATATGGGCAGATATGAGCTGTTCACAGACGTATCGATATCAGCTCATATGCATTGATATGAAAACATCTTCTGCCTCAGACTAAAGACACATCTCTGTCTGATTACCAACTTAAAAAAAACTTATATGGCACTTACATGTAGCACTTTGTAGTTTTTTTGAAGCAAATTGTATTTACTTGATTCTTGTTGTTCTGGGTTTGTTCTCTCATGGTTGATGCACTTATTGTAAGTTGAATAAAATGTAATGTAATGTGTATAAGATAAGATAAGACATAAGATAAGACTTTATAAATCCAGAAGGATTGTGCCAATCTTGCTCAAAGATTACAGTACAGAACAATATAAAAAAAAAATAGTGTGAAGATGAAAATGAAGTAAAAGTAAAAGAGTATAGTAAATGAAATAAAACTAAGTGTAAAGAATAAATTACTAAGTGGCAGTAAGTCAATATGAAGTGATAAAGGAGTAGGTAATGTAAAATATTGCAAATTATATTGAAATACATAGACATAAATATTTCACATGCTATAAATCAGTAGAATAATATTGGAAATGATATTACATGATATTGAAGTATTGCACATGATATTTAAAATCTTGTACCTGATATTAAATGATGCAAGGAAGAACAAAAAGCAATGTAATGGTTACACATGTGTCATTTACATAATATCAAGCCTCAATTTCATTTCTTTATCGGCGATGTCACAAATTGTTCTCCCCTCGTATTGGTGTCACGATCATATGTTTATGTATATGTAATGTTACCACCACTCACGAAGACCTTATTGTTTAACACTGAATTTAATGACCACAAATATAATTAAATCAAAAACTTTGGTAAACTGGGTTGAATTAGCAGTGTGGTCGTGTTGCCCTCCAGACCAGCAGGTGGCGCTGAGGCGCTCAGCCTCGAGTTATCCAGCCGATACAAGGAAAGAGGAAGAGGACCTTCCGTAAACAAGCCAACGGTGTGGAAGTTGTTTGCCCGGTTTTATTTTTCATTAACTTTTCCGCCATTCTCCATGTTTCCTGAGTTTTTACAGTGAGTATTCGTGTATAGCGACGTTACTCGATGTTTGTATGTTCAGGTAGTAAATTATTTTTCGTAATAAAGTCGACGTTCACGGGTTTTGTGTCATAACATTAGCTAACCCGGTTTTAGCTTCCGACTATGACCTCACTGAGTGTCTATGTCCTTCTACACACACTCACATGTTAGAACCACGGAATAGCTGCACAAAAAGCAGTATCAATGAAAATAACTGCACTGGTTCTTTTATTATCATTGTTTTGTTGTTTCCTGTGTGTTAATGGTTTGAATCTGGTTTCATGCAGATGTCTCGTAGTGAATCCTCTCCTGCTGTGGAAAGGTCCCCAGTGAGTAAAGACGGAGGACGGGACTCTAAACGTGTGAACAGCAACAGCATCATGCCAGACAGCAAGAGGGAGCGAGTGACCAAGGAGGTCGGACTCACCAGCACCACATTCATTGGTCCCACATTTCCTCCGCCAACGTCCGCACCGAAGTCGAAGGACATCGAGGACACGCTGAGCGAGTTCTACAAAGAGCTGGAGAAGATCGACACGCCCGATGGTGCTGATGGGAACTCAGGGAAACGAGGGGAAGGTTCTGCTCGACCACCAGCACCTCCTGAAACCTACACCAGCGAACAGATTCAGGTCCCAAACCACGACAGAATGTATTATGCCAGCAGTTCTGCAGAAACGGACAGCTGGCGGAAAAGTGGTGGAGAGAGGCCAGCATCTTGGCCACACTGGTATCACAATGAGCCGTATCACCCCAGGAGGCCGAGGCCAGGAGTGGACCTGACCTCTCAGAATCAATGGCGTTATCCTCAACCGCAGGAAAGACCACCAAACCCAGGATTACACAGACCCCCATTCCGTCATCCACCACCCCCACCTGCATTCCAGAATCCACAAAACCCGCCGCCACACGTGAACCACAAGTGGAGCAGTTCAGGCAACGCAAACCAGTATCAGGAGTTTTCTCGCATCCCATCTCCGAATGTGTGCAGACCACCATCTCAGTGCCATTATGGAGAATATCCATATCTCTCTGACAGGGATGAACGGGCTCGCAGCTTCGATGCATACTCAGATAATGGAAATATAGAATGGTCTCAGTTTGATGGAGGTCATGACCAAAACCAAGTATTTAATTCAGAAAATGAACTCTGGGAGCAACAGCATCACTCCAGACCCCCCGAGAACACTCATGCTCCCCGTTCTTCCTTGGTGCTGATCCTGATGAGGGGATTGCCTGGATCTGGGAAATCGACACTTGCCAGGTACGCATGTGTAGTAACCTTTAGTCATTAAAGTGGGCGTATTGTTCAATATGAAGGAGTGGGCTTTCTAAGATTTACACACTCTGTCTCACAGGGAGCTGCTCTCCACTGGTCCCAGTGGGCTAATACTGAGCACAGATGACTACTTTGCTCACAAGGATGGCTACTGCTATGAACCATACCTTCTTGGAGAGGCACATGAATGGAACCAGAGCAGAGGTATCGTCTCTTCTAATGCTCATGCAGCTTTGATGTCTTTGTAAACATTATCTCCATTTCAGGAACTCGCTTTTTATGTTGTTGTCATAATAAGCATTTTGTGCCAATGTTCGAGGCACAAATTAAAATGAGGGCGCTCTTGTGCCAAAAAACGAGAGGAATTCAGTATTTGATGTGACACCCTTAGCCTGTGAAACTGCACCAGGTCTCCTCGGTACACTTTCTTTTTTAAGTGAACATGGAAAGTAGTTGGTTCTAAATAGTTAGTGGTAGTTTTCTGTGGACTGACTCCACAATGTTGAGATCGGTTGTCATTCTGTACAAACCAACCAGATGCTTCCCTGATGATATTGCATGTGGGATGAGAATCAAAACACGTAACATGCTTCAGTTGTTCACACAGTAGTTTCAATGAAGAGGAGTTACAGTGGCCTGTTTAACCCAGAAATGGTAAACAGGTGCCCTTTCAGTTAAGTGTTTACAAAAGTTCCACTGACTAAACAGTTTTAGAAATACGCTTTGAAGACACTTGCCTGAAATTTGTTTGGTGTTAAATTGTCTTTCAGCCCAAGATGCTATGCATGATCGTCGCTCTCCAATTATTATTGATAATACAAACATTCAAGCCTGGGAAATGAAGCCATATGTCAAAATGGTAGGTGGTGATGTCACATATTATGAGGAGCATTGATCTAATTAACAGTATTTAGTTGGAATGTTTCATGACTCTTTCATAGATCCTAATGAAAATGATTCTGAACAGGCCCTGGAGCTAGGATACACAGTCGACTTTTGTGAACCTGACACCAGCTGGAAGTTGGATCCTTATGAGCTTCAGAGGTAGGATGTCTTAATAATCATATTGTACTTGGATGCCAGTGCAAACTCAGAAAAGCTTCAGTTCCTAAAATGACCACACTGTACTGTTTTTTACCCTCAAGGAGGAACAAGCACGGAGTTCACCAGGAGAAGATCGCACGGATGCTGGATCGCTTTTCATTTCCCATTTCCATAGACATTGTCATGAGTTCCCAAGATCCGCCTCACGCCCACCAGAGCAGACGATGAGGAGAAACAGATCTCCATTAGTTGATACAAGGATTTAACCAGCCAAATAATTTTGCTTAGCAAAATATATTTTTCATTGTTGCTGTTGTTTCTTTGTATTAATTTATAATTTTATACGGTGCAAATTTGTGTAAAGGGAGAGCAAATGTATTTTCTATAAAGAAGTTTTCAACGTAAAATTGTCATGTGTGATATCTTTTTTAGGAAAAGTCCAATCTGCACTATTTTTGCAGTTTGTATTTAATGACATTTCAGACTTGTTAAAATTGTTTCCTGCAGCTTCTGGTTCCCTGAAATCTGCAGAGCAACTGAAATTTTCTGTCAACTTTAATGGCCCCCATGGACACAAACACACACTCTTTGAACTATTCATGCTAACATGTTATCTTTCTAAAGAAATCATAGGCTACCTTGTTTGACACAAATGTTTCATTGCTCTCAGTGGATTTTGTTCACATTTCTCCACTGGAGCCTCCAGTGACAGATCTGGGGGAAACATCTTGTAATAGTATCGCAGGAGTAAATACTCAATAGGTAAAATACTTTATTGCTGTTGTTGAGACTGTCAGTGGTCACTTTTTAGGGATCTAGTTTATATTAAGTTCCAATTTCTTCTCTGTCATTGCAGACATTGAAACATCGTGCTGTACTACTTATATTTGCAGTCTTTTAGATGGATGTACCTCCAATCAAATATCTCCATTCATTCTTCCACCTCCTGTTGTATGCACAAAGACATCCCACAGACTTCAGCACCACTGTCATGTTGACATGTTGAGAATTAGTTTTTTAAAGTGTTCCACTCGCCTGGGGGCATTTTCCTCACATCAATGATGATCATGAGGTTTATAAACACCGCTGACCTTGCCCTACAGTACATTCTGGTTCCAATGTGTCAGGCCAAGCTGCAGTTGAGGACATAACATTTTCACATCTTATGTGCCAAAGTACAGCCTGATGAATTCTGAGAAGATTTTGTGTAACTGCTGTAACAGCTTTGAAAGAAGAATTAAGTAAAGATATCTGTGTGAAATCTGTATGTGCTCATTTGCCAACGAGGGTCCTTGGTAAATTATAAAGAGAGAGAGAGATGCATGACATTCATTTCATGGACATTTCCAGTTCTTTTTAAAAAATCTAATAAAGAAAAGATGATGAGATCTTGATAAATAAAGTCGTTCAAATGGGCCATGACTTCTAGTCGATATATAAAGGCCAAGCTGTTCAGTTGAGTGTCCCTGAGGTGACGGTGACCTTATGTGAGAGAATCAATGTGGAGGCAGTTTTAAGAAGAGCTTTGAATGGGTTTTACTTTCCATCATGTGCTCGCTTGAGTCATTGTGTTTGTTGGACACGTAACCCCGGATATTTATTTCGGTTTGAAAAAAGTGGAAATGAGGTCAGTCAGTGTGCATAACAAAAATCATTCAACAACCAAGACTATGATGGAAACAATCTGTTTGCTGGAATACATTATTTTAAAACAGGTTATCGCCAACAGCTTCCAAGTTATTTCTGTAATTAAAAACTACTTAGGCCTAATGTTTATACAGAAACTTTTTGTAGATGAGATATGAGATAAAATCCTTTATAGTGTCAGGAGCTTGGCTGGTTTCATTCCTATTGTTAGAAAATCTCCTGTGGAGTGAAACAATCTCTTTGTGAACCAATTTAAAAACCCTGTTGTATTATCAGCACAGACCACATGGCAGCTGCCTTCTGGATCTTTACTGTAAAAGCTTTGACCTTTGAAATCCCCAAGCTGCTCAACACCCTGCTCCCTGAAGAATCCAGGGTCGCTGCACAAGCACTGAACAACGACAGCAGGGAAATGAACAGCTCATTTCCACTGAGAAACAAGATTATTCGGTTTTTCAACAGCTTGGCCTCCTGCAGACGAGCCGGCAGCCAACACAGAGTTACTATGTTTAGTAGTTTATTATAAGAAGAGATATCCTCTCTTTCATTAAAACTCACAGGGAGGCTTTCTCCATGAACTGTAATTTGTGCAATATCCTGCTGCTTTTCAACAACAGGATATGACAAACAGGAAAGGTCATTATTCATAATCTTAGCAGGGGCTGATGTTCCCATTCCTCCATAGTTGGCGCTGATTTCTTCACTTAATCTGAGCCTGAAAAGGAAAAACTGTCTTCAAGGTGCATGATTAAATATTTTTGCTCAAGTCTTAAATCAACAACATATTTTCCTTCTCTTGAATGTCTCGTATTTGAAACACAAACATGCACGATGGGGCCTGACTACTACTCTTGCTAAATCTCACCTGAGGGAACAAATGTGCGTTCAGCATCTTCAGCTGCATCGAGTGCGTTTGTTCCACTCAGGTGTCTAGGTTCAGTATTATGAGGGAGCTTGCAGGAGGGAGAGGAGGCGGACGTGATGCTTTGTGCTCCCTGAATGGCAGTGATGAGCCACAATTAAGTCGCTGCCATTAACCGTGTGAGGAACAAAGAGGGCAGCTGACAGCTGTTTTCTGCTTAATGGTACAGAACTAATAGATATGCATGTAGCTGCTGCTCTGTGATAACATCCCCTTCAATGTCTGTGTGGGTAGAATTTGGGACGGACACTGCATCTCTCAATGTTTTTTATTCTTAGTTCGGAACAGAAGACATGGACCCTGCATGGCTGTGCACTGTTTTTTTTGTATGACTGATATATTTATGTTTGGGGACTGATGCTGATACCAATAGAATTATAAAGGAGGTTTGATTTTTTCAGTTTAAACATACATTTATTATGGATATCTATAACTAAAACACAAATATATAGAACTTGAATTAAGAAAATATTTTTTTTTTACATATAATATAAATATAATTTATTCAGTAAAGTTTTCAACTCAGCAAACCTAATAACAAACCAACCGCAAATCAATCGTACTGTAATTACCATGTGGGCTATATGATAAATTCACATCTCATAGATATAATTTCCAGCTTCAAAATCTTTCTCAGTAGTATTATATATATATTCTCAGTAGTTTCCTGCTGGTGCTGCACTTGGATACAAACAAGGTTTTCATAGAGATTTAAAGCCTGATGGCAAAGTGGGTGAAGCATAACATTTAAACTCTGAGCTCTTTTAGATTCGTGCACAATGATTTTAGTTTGGTTTTTAATCAGAGTTATTATTTGTTATTGACAAAGGTCATCTGCTCCTGAGGGGAACGTGGGGTGATGCCTGCACCTCACGTTGTTTATTGTGGTTGTCACGTGAGGCTGGGAGCCAATGACAAGCGAGTTGTGTCATCTTCTCTACACACAGACTGACCAATCAGCTGAGTCAAGCCATCAGGGATGAGACAGACACCAGGTCACTTGTTCTTCAAAATAAAAGGAAATGTGAACGCATTGAGCAGATATGTGGGGAGTTGTCCACAGTATAAATATACTCAAACATTATTTTTATTAACATGGTAATTTTATCTATAATGTATAAACTGCACTTTGAACTGCATTTCTTATATAAAATGTGCTATACAAATAAAGTTTATTATTATTATTCAGGAGAATGAAATTACATATATTTGCTACAGAGTGAAATAAATCAGTTGAATAATCAGATCCTTACAAATAAATTCATCTAATTTCACATCGGTTGTTGTTGTAACATCAGAGCTTGTAATTCACTATATCCTTTGAATTCTATCATATTCTGTTGGTGTTATGAGATATGTGTAAAACCATTCTCAAAAGACCTTGAAGTTTTCACCTACACAAGTGAAATGATAATATGGAGTAAAATCTTATATAGTCGAGAAGAAAATCGACTGATCAATATTTACTTGCGGACATTTCACCTAATGGGACTCACGAGGCTTTAATTTTGACACAGCTCAGCGGAAGTGTCTCAGTGGCTCTACTTTACCTTGACAGGTGGAGGGAGCTTCACACGCCGCGGATGTGATCCGGTCCGGTGGCCGGTTCGCTGCTCCTGCTGCTGGCGGCCGCACTTCACAGCTGCTGCTCCCTCCGCCGGCTGCTGTGCCGGTCCGCCGGTGTCACGTTGATCCGTCGAGGATGCGCCCGGTGCCTCCGGTGCTGACAGCGGGTCCACGGCGTCGATGAGTCGCTCGTGCACTGAGGGAAGTTTCCCTCCTGCGACCTGAGGCGGATCGTTGTGCACGAAGCTGTTCACGCGCACGGTGAGTGGCTTTGCATGTGCACGTATCGATTGTGGACTCTACTTATATGATCATATCATATTACGATCAGATACTCACATGCAACAATCCCACTTTGCATTTGTTCTTTTATTTTTTTAAGTCTGTTTAATTATTAATTGTTTCCTGGAAGCTGCTGTTTAACTTAAGGTCAATATGATTATTTCCTGTACTATTGAACTGGATTTGAATGTATCCATTGAATAAAACTTTGATGGGACATAAAGTAGAAGCCTTTATGTTCTGTCCAGGTGAAATTTTGGATTTATTGATGTTTAGATATACTAAAATGTGATGTTACCTGGATCCAGTGAATCTCCCATACCTCTGTCCCCTGACATATTAGGTCTGACTGACTGAATTTAGTCTCTGCTATGATTCCTCCCTATACCTGAAGACATTATTATTATGTTTGATAAACATATTCCCTCCTGTGCATTATCCTGTGAGAACACAAAGCTGGCAGCAGTGAGGGGAGTCGAAGTTCAGCAAACAATCCTGTCTCCACACGTTGATGCTGGCACCGTTGGTAGAACCTGTTCTCTCCCTGTGGTTGGTTGTGTGCTCATGCAGAGGGTTAAATGGCAGCGGTGTGGCAGAGTGACTGTGCAGCCGTGTCTCATCACTAATCTCATCACAGCACTGCTGAGTTCTGACCTGGGGGCTCGGCCGTCGACATGCTGCAGGATCATCAGGTTTAAAGTTAGTTACATGCAGAATAACGAGGGGAAATTGGGATCATCATTGTTTTTATTTAGATATTTGCCAGGAAAAGCTACCACACAGCCACAAAAAGACGAGAAACACTGTTTGACCTTAACTCCGTCCTACCCCTCTGTCCCTTTGACTTGATTGTAGCCTCCATTGTTTGTCAGAGGCAGTTTTCCGATCCCCTCCAGCTGCCGGTTACATAATGTCCATGTTCCACAGTTTAGTGAGCAGAGGGGCTAACTCAGGCAGAATTGAGCAAACACAATACAGACCGAGGCCCAGACTTCAACGTTACATAAGGTGTGTTTTCCTTCCACTTGGCTGGTTAGATGCAGATGATGCTGGTCCAGAAATAGGACTGTGGACAGGAGGATGTGATGCTGCACTCGCTGTGTTCACCAGTGGAGGAGTCTACAGATGAGCCTGGTAATGCACACTATAGTGAGGTCTCTCACAGCCACTTAGCAGGGAGGGAGATTTGCCTTTTCGTGCGGGTGCAGGTCTTGTTTTTGTTGCCGTTGCTCAATTCTCCCAGCAATGTTTGATGTGTACACTTGTGCACAGTGGGCACCAGTGAACATTACATTCAAGGACATATCCATTTAATGTCTGCTAAGAGCGGTGGAGGGGAAGTGTGTGATCGCCCTCCCTCTGGTTAACATCAGCAAAGTGCTCTGTGGTTTCACATGGGTCATTAGGTTGTATCGCTCTGGGTTACATACGCCGCTGTGAGTTTCTTTACAGATACACACAGAAGAGTACATAAAACAGATAGAACAGGCAGTAGTGGTAAGATGAGTGCACAGTTTAACTGGTGAAGTATACACCTCTGCCCAACAAATTCACTCCATCCACCACTTTTCTTTCTCAATTTGCACCAAATGTCAGTCCCCCTAAATCTGATTTGTTTTTCAGTCAGTTCCATAAATTGTTCAAATCTATGAAAATGTGGCAAAACACCTTATTTCACAATGTTTTAAAGGTACAGTGTGTAGAATTTAGTGACATCTAGTGGTGGAGTTGCATGCTGCAGCTGAATACCCCTCACTGCACCCTCCCCTTCCAAACATTAAAGAGAACCTGTGGTAGACTTCACTTGTCATAAAAACTCAAAAGATGTTTAGTTTGTCCAGTCTGGACTAATGTAAAAAACATGGGGGCCTCCGTAGAGTGGACCTGCTCCCTATGTAAATATAAAGTATTTGAATATAAAGAAAACAACAATTTGTCAATTTAGATGAAAAACTCTATTATTTTATAATCAATTTCTGCCAATAGAGAAAAAAATGATCAAGACCAAAATCTAATTGGTTCTTTCCCATTCCATACCGCATCCTTCCACCATACAAACAGATGAGAACATTACCTCCTTGGCTATTAAATGACAGTGTGAAAAATGCAATAAGTGCATTTTAAATGAATATGTAATGCCACTGGAGAATCTCACTTACTCTCCTGCTCATATATTGGCCAGTTTTGAGTTGTATTCACAGATTTTTGCTACACACAGCACTGATGTGTGACGTCTGCCTCGGCACTGACAACTTTCATCCATCACATGTGGCTCAAAAGAACAAATCACCACTGTCTCATATCGAGCAGAAAATCTTTGTCACGTGGGAAATCTGAACACTGTGTCCCTGTCAGTGATTTCAAAGAAGCAGTCAGACGTAACTTTATCTCTAAATGTTAAATTCATTATTTGAGATGATGACGAGATGATATTTGATACAAGAGTTCATACAAGTCAGATGTCCGAGCAGCCGAGTCTGCAGCATATTTTAAAAAGAGAGACATTTTTTAAATAAACTGAGTCTTTCTAAATTTATGAACTAAATGTATCTGTTATTTTTCCTTAACACTTTTTCAAGAGTGTTTTTTGGAAATACTTATTCTGACCTACTTCAACCAACTGATACCAGGGAACATAAAATCATGCAATGAATTTATCTTAACCTTTTGGAAACGCTAATTTCTGAAAACCCAAAGTCCACAGTTTGACGAAATTCTCCAGCTTTGGGACAATTTGCAGATTGTAAACTTCCACTTTCATGTGCTGGTGAGCATGCGGTGCTATTCAGGAGTTTGCTTGGCGGTAAATTCATTAAACCACCAGTTAAAACGCCATGAAAGAAAACCACACGGGTCAGTTGAGAACTCTGCATGTTGAGACTTTATTTTTGTAACATTACGCCACTAGAACTCCTTCAGATGATAATGTAGAGGAACACTCATCGTGCTTGAGGGAGCCACAGCAGCACTGCAGGAGCTGTGTGCTGCATCCTAATAAAGGGAGATGACTGCAGAGGGAGCTGTGAAAACCAGACAGAACACAAACATCACAATTACATCATCTCCAAATCTGCACTTCAGACTGAAACTCTATAATACATCTCTGAGAGTACAGGTAAAATACTCCTGATATATACTGTATATACATATATATATATTTTCCCTAGCAGGGGAACAATCACTGAACTAACCTCAGATTAAGCAGTTCACTACTGATGTGTTGTCAGATGATGGAAAATAATGGCCCCAGACTAAAGATCCATCCCCACATGTGTATTGTACATTTCCAGGGAAATTAAAAGTCCTCAGAAGCAACAAGGCTCATTTTTCAGTGAAAGTGTCTCCTACACAGTGAGCTGCTGCTGCTATTATCTTTTATTACCCGCATATATAAAAACCCAGCAGCAGCCTGGTGTTTCACATGGCTTGTGAAAATCTGCGTAACAAAAAGATCTTGTGACTGATGATGTTTGTTGTGCATCTTGTTGCCGACATGATTCACGTGTTGACCTTTTGCTTCTGCGTTACCGTAAAAAAACACAATTCGACACGGCTTAATTTATAATCCTCGTTCAGTTCCTTTTTTTCTTCGTTTAATCGGGTGATTGATGAAAAATTCAACCTGATGACTTGTATGTGGAGCAAACGTCCATGCTCCCTGAGGACTGTGAATGTGAAGGGTCACTGATCACGACTGAGGCAGCTCCTTCACATATAAAGCGGAGGGTCCTTTGTTAAATTAGCTGCTGCCTGATAGATGTTTCACTGATTAGGGTTTCCCGCTGACCTTGTTGGACCTTATTAAGCGCGGAGAGAGGAACACATCTGCGCCGTTTCCCTCAGGTCCACATTGCTATTTTGGGATTATCTTAATGAAGCAGCAGAACAGTTTCAGAGGTTCCTAATATGGAAATTTGGAAATAATCAGTTAGGGGATTGTTTGTCCCTGCAGGCACGATGGTGTGAGGCCGCGTGAATGAGGCGCCCTGGACGAACATGATGGAGGAGGCTGCCAGCCAACTCGAGAGGGAACACGTGCACAGCGTCTACGACAAGATCGCTCCGTATTTCAACGACAGCCGCTACAAAGCCTGGCCCAAAGTACAGCAGTTTCTGCTGGACCTGCAGCCAGGAAGCATCGTCGCCGACATCGGTGGGTGTCACCTCCAGCAGACAGGGAATCCTGACAGTCTCATGAACACTACATCATGAATCACAGAATTTCTGCTTCTTCTTTTGTTTTTTGTTTTCACTCACAGCACCACTTTGAATCTTTTTACCTGAAAACAGCAGCTTGAAAATGAGTCTGATGGTTCACTGACCTGAAACAGAGAATGTTCCCTCTTTCATTCCCACTCCTCACTCTGAACTTATGTTCTTGCTCTATGTAACGTACAGTACGTCATGAGTGGGTACGATCTCCTGTGAGAAATGTGGAACTGACCGATATCGTTGATAGTCAGAATCAGGTCCAGCAAGTTCAATGCAAAAAGGTAGCTCAGTTAAAAAAAAAATACTTAGAGGTCATTAAAACCAGCGTTTATCTCCAAAATATGAAGAAAACGAAGCCCCGCAGAATGAATCACTCCGTGTGGCTGTTGCTTCTTAAAAGTTTTCAAAATATAAAAGTATTTCAAATCTAATCATGAATGATTCCTGATCTGTCACTGGCTGACCTCCTTGTCCTCTGCAGGTTGTGGCAATGGCAAGTATCTCCACATCAACCAGGAGGTGTTCAAGCTGGGATGTGACGTTTGTCGCCCCCTGGTGGACTATGCCTGGTGCCAAGGACACGAGGTCCAGATGTGCGACGGGCTGCATTTGCCTTACAGAGACGGCTGCTTCGACGCTGTGCTCTCTATCGCAGGTGGCTGACACACAAATGGTTTAAGGGAGGGTTAGGTGTTGTTGATGTCTGTTGCTCTGTGACAAATAAGCTCCTTTGCATCCTTTGCATCCTCCTTTGAAGCTCAACTGATGCAGCTGCTATTTGCCTCAGATTTAATGGACTCATATGATGAACATCAGCAAACCTGGAGCTTGCGTTGCCAAGTCAACAGAGTTAAATAATTCATGTGTGTCCCCCAACAGGAGAGTAATTACCCACTCTTTTAATTTATCTTGTGTGCCGTACGCAGAGTACTTAATGTTTGTCGACTGCAAATGTGATGCATCATCTTAATTAAGTAAATCCCTTCTCACCCTCCTACTTAATTCTAACAAATTCATATTTTTCTCTTAGTCATCCATCACCTGTCCACCAAAGAGCGCCGTATTCGAGCAATAAGGGAGATGGCCCGCACCCTGCGAGTGGGAGGACGCATTATGATCTACGTGTGGGCCATGGAGCAGAAGCGTCGTAAATTTGAGAAACAGGACATCTTTGTTCCGTGGAACCCCAACCCTCAGTCGGCCCTCAACAGGGAGCTTGCCAAGTCCAGACGGAGGGCCACAGCACAGAGTGTGAGCGAAGCCATAGATAACACTGAAAAGCACAGGAAGGTTAGAAGCACATCCTCTGTTGCAGACGAAGAAGACCTGACCAGCGCCACGCCGCAGCAGAGGACTCAGAGACTGTGGTTCTTCTCGAGGTCTCTGGACTCTGTGTTCGACTTTGGTAGTTTAACCCTCTCCAGGTCATCCTCCAGAGAGCTGAGCACTTTATCCTCACCCACAGGAGAGAGTATGGGGAACAAGGTGATTCAGCGTGGGCGAGGGCAGGGCCTCATCAAGCAGGTGTCCAGCTTCTTTTCTCCTCCGTCTGTGATCGGATCAGAGGAGGACGTCTTCGCCTCAGTCACAGACCTGCACAAGGGACAACATGACCGCGGAGGCAACAACAACGCCCCTAGCAACAACGGCACAGAAAACCAGGGTGTCTCATTATCTTTAGCCCAGGAGTGCGGCTCCTTGGCCCTGCCAGACCTGGTGCCTTTCCAGAGGGAGCATCTTAAACAGTCTGGAGACGAGAGCGAAGAAGGGGGAGCGGGAAAAGAACAGCAGGAAAGCACCCAGAGTCCTCAGGGGAGCGAGGGACAGGTGGAGGGCTCCTGTCTGAGGTACTATCACGTCTTCAGGGAGGGAGAACTGGCAGAGCTGATAGAGAGCCATGTTGAGGAGCTTCATGTCAAACACGCTTATTTCGATCATGCCAACTGGTGTGTGGTGGCAGAGAAGGTTCAGTTGTGGAAAATATGATTTTTAACTCGTTTGATTTTTACTTTGCATCAACTCTGCCTCAAGTTTTAATATTGAATCACACATTTGATGATTATAACACTATTTTAACTGAAAAACATGTCAAGGTGCAGAAGTAACCATTGTTGAAATGGTAATCACCTCAATTTTTTTTATTTATTATTCGGTATTTATTCAATTTCAATTAGTGAAACCAACAAGCAGTATCCATATATCCAGTGTACGCTCCCTTTTTAATGTCAATAATCTGATTTTATCATCTTCCCACAGCAATTTCCAGGATTTTAACTTTTTAAATAAGAGAATTTCTGCAGTGGAGATGTTATGAAACGCACTGTTTTTCCTCTTTGGACTAAATAGTAGCCAAAGGGGAATTTATGATCCACAGCAGGGGTGGGGAACCGTTTCCTATCAAGGGTCATCTCAGTTTTTAAAACACCCTTGAAGCACTGTAGGTGTCCTACATTTCTATATACCCTTACACAGATCACTGTAATCTATCAAATGTGATGACTGTAACTGTTTGTCATTGGCCAGGTGTCTGATGTGACATGGTGGAGATGAACAGAATTACGCTCACAGCAGCAGGTCGTCGTCAGAACCCTCGGGACGCACATTCAGTCTGAGCAGTCAGGTTGTCATACTTTCCTCTACAGTCATTGTTGCTTTGTCATACACAACAGCTGCTTCCAAAATAAAGGGTGCAGCACGTGTTCACCTTCTTTTGTTTACTTTTCACGTCCGGAAACTTCTCAAATGCCCGGAGGAGTTTTGCTCACTCACCAGCATATTCACACGAAACACCGGGCTGCTGTTCTCACAGAGGAGGAAAGTATTTAGTGTGCATTGGATTTTTTTCATCTCTGTCACACTGAGTTGCTGAGTTGAATTGTTTTTTTGTTTTTTTTCTATATTCAAAATATATCATCATTTGTCCATTTCTAATAGAGCAGTCAGGTATGACACCTGCGTGTTTCCTTCCGACTCCTCTTTTACATTTTCTTGTATTGCAGAAAAATGATCCTGCAGGCCAGAGGTTGCCCATCCCCCGACCACTGTACACTCTTCCATTCCTGTTTTAAAGGTTCAGTGTGGAGGATTTGGTGACATCTATTGGTGAATATGCATACTGCAACCAACTGAATGCCCCTGGCCTGTTTGGTTTGGTTGCTCTGGGTAACTGTAGAAACATGACGGATTCTGTGGTAGAGGAGCCGCCCCCAGAATAGATTCAGAGGTAACGAAAACACGATTCGTAGTTGCCATATATGTCTGTAGATCCCACTGAATCATTCACACTGCACCTTATGTGGATTTTTTTACTCTGTCTGCCTGTTTTACAATTGCACGTTCCTTAAAAAAGAATCTGTTTTTGTACATTTTGGGTGATGAACGGCTCATGTGTAACGTATCACAAACACTATAACACAGTTAAACAAGCTCATTGTTGTGCAGAGCAGCTAACGAAATATTTGCGTCATTTGCTCGTTGATTTATTCTCCAATTGTTTCAAAGAACGTGTTACCAACGTGTGTGCTCGATGTCGTTATTTGTAAAAGTTGTGTTTCGTCTTGTAACAAGCTGAACATGCCATGAGTGTGTTTCAGCCGATCGACTGCCTCCTATACTGTGAATAATCATTGCACTGTACCAATATGTCGCTGCTTGATGTCGCTGACTGACAAATTTAGGTGAAACTTGAAACATGCTGGTTCTCTGTATACATTGTGCCAAGGACAGTGCATATGTTCGTCAGTACAGTATGTGTGGACCAACTGTGTTTGTTCTGAGGTGACACTGGTACAATGTCTCATGTCACCTGGTGTAAAATGCCTCTAGAGTTTGAGTTTATTTGTCCTTATTAAATACTTTTATTCATTAGTGAGGTTGTGTTGCATTTACTGACATTAACGACTGTGTCACAATTCAGTGGGCGGGTGTCCAGTGAAAGCCAATAAGTGCAATGTTCAATAACAGAAGATTTAATGGTTATAGAGACTGTTACTACCACAGAGGTAATGATGCAGTGTCATGATGAGGTAAACGGCAAGTTGAACAACATTTTAGTGACTTCAATGACCATGATCACCATGAGTCTTGTTCCAATAAACCATAACAAGTTCAAAACAAAGTCAAAGAGTTAATTACACATTTTAAATTGTATAACTTGACATATTACAATTTCCGAAATATACTTAAAGTCCATTGTCTCTTATCTTTTTCACGATTCTTAATAAAAATGTAAGGCTGTTGCATGTACAGTATTTAATTCTACTGTTTACAAAGCACATTCATGAGGTAAATATTAATATTGGCTGCTAAAGATCAGACTTTGAGGATCCTTGAGGAGGTTTTACATTCCACACTCCCTCCAAACCTGAAAAATAAAAAACATGATTGTTATCACTCATGTTCAGGATAACCAGTCGTCACATTTTGTTTTTATAGTCTACATAATGGTTTCTGTATTGAAAGTTGTGTTTCTTTTACCTGAGCAGCTGCTCTGTGGACGATGGAGTGTCTGAGGGCCAGTTTGTCGATGTCTCTTGAATACCCTCCTCCGATTACAGCAGCAACAGGAACGCCTCTGCTCACCACAGTCTTCATCACATACAGATCTCTCTGATACAGCCCTGGAAGACACTCGGAGTCATTCAAAAGTAGTCTAGAAATGATTTGTGTGTGCGTGTGCGTGTCGCTCACCGTGGTCAGTCAAGCGGAGCCTCCCAAGTTCATCGTCCCAATGAGGGTCGACGCCTGCATCATACAGGACCAGGTCTGGACGAAAAGACTCCAGGAGCCAGGGAAGGTGAGCCTCCACTGTTGAGAACATATCGGACATGGAAGCTAATGGTTTACTCACGTTAAATACTACAGTTTTATGATATTACCTCTTTTTAAACCAGCAAAAAGAAAATAAATGTGTAAAATACAGATTTTAACCTTTGACGAAACCTTTAGTAATGACTTGACTGTAACACCATTAAAGACGTCTCACATTCACTGTGTTAACGTGCCTGTGGAGAGGTAGTCCTTGTCTTCCAATCCATCCTCCAGGCTGATATCTAGGTCACTCTGTTGTTTACGGAGGGGGAAGTTTTTCCCACAATGCACTGAGAATGTAAACACACACGGCTCCTCTTTAAATATGAAAGCTGTGCCGTCGCCCTATTGGATGCACAAGAAGGACGTTTCACTCCAAACAAAAAAAGCAAAAACAAGTTGAACATCTTGTTTTTCTCTTAAAAAGTTAAAAGAAGCAGAGACGAGTACCTGATGCACGTCTAGATCCACAATCAGAACCTTCCTCCTGGGTGAAGAGTTTCCCATCAGGTGTTTGGCAGCTACGGCCAAATCATTGAGGAGACAATATCCTGAACCATAACTCGGAAAAGCATGATGGGTTCCTCCTGCTGTGCTGCAGGCCAGACCCCTCTGCAGAGCCACTTCAGCAGCGAGGAGGGTCCCACCTGGCAACAGGAAACTAGGTCATGAGGAGGTGATATTTCCTTAGAGCTGTGAATCTATCTGCGACTTGTATCTCCCTCTCACCGGTTTCATATCGACAGCGTCTCACTAAGCCCTCGCTCCAGGAGAAGCCTGTCTTCCGCTGGTCTTGCTCACTTATTCTCCCTTGTATGAAGTTGGTCACGTATTCTTCTGTGTGCACACAGCTCAGTAAATCTTCAGAGGCAATTTCAGGTTCCCACACCTACTGTGAGGAAGGAAATCACACTGACAGCAAGTTCCAGTACAACCATCATGTCAGTTTATACTGATGATCAAACGATCTTCAAGTCTCGATTGATTGACTGATCATTTAATCTATATGAGAGCCTGACTGAATTATCGTTTTATTTCATAAATAGATATATCATATATGTATCAGTACCAATTTTATTTACTCTTTAATATTGGTTAAAGAAGTTCCAGCACAAACTCAACTTATAATATTAGTCTCCATTACGGATTTTTCTTTTGTCCTCGATCAAATAATCCACAAATTGTTTTCTTATTGATTAATAAATTAATTTACACAAAAGATCGCAGCTATAAATGTTTAGTCCAATCAACAGAAGATGTTGCATTTCTTGTTCCACAAAACAAAAAACAGGGAATATAACATTTTCATGATCACTTGTCATTAAGGTCAATTAATATTCACTACTGGAGACATTGAATCTGTTGATAACAAGCATCGTTACCGCAGCTGTATCTACAACAGAGAGGGCCGACTCACCTGTTTGTGTGTGATGACCTGGTCTTTTATGAGGAAGTGTAAAACTCGGGGGAACTTGCTCATGGGGAACCTGTGGTTTGGGGGGAGGTCGCACACGTACCCTGCGTGGTGGATTATGGGAAGGTCGCTGGACTGGTGTCTGACCTGAGGTGAACCAGGTGAGTGTTTGTAAACGACAGGATTGAAAACCCACTCTAATCAAACAACATGTTCTTACTGTCTCTGCGTGGAAACATCTGCAGGAGGTCAAGTCTGCTCTGAACCACCGAGCGACTCTTTTCAGGAATATTCCCCTTAGGCCCGTCATTTCTCTGACGAACATGTTTCCTGATGAAGGTCCCTGCGATCAAACTGTGGAATCAACATTTTAATACTCCCACTGAGGTTAGGACACATGCATCACAAACGTCCTGGTTTCCCGCTTTGTTGACGGATGTTGAGTGTGTGTCTCCCTCTCTGGTGCTGCCACCTGCCGTCGTGGAGTGGACGTGACACAGAGGCGCAGCCAGGGGTGTCCACCACCTTCAGGTGGCCGAGAGAGCTCAGCGCCCTGCGAGGTGAGAAGACCCATGCAAACAGAGAAAAACACGTGCAAAGTTCAGAAAACAACTTCACCAATTTAACGACACGTGCACTGCAAAATGGCACACATGCACATTTTGCATATTTGCTTGGGTTGTGAGTTTTTGCAGGAACAATTATTTGTGTGTTTCTTTTAATGATAGGAGACATCCAGGAGACAACAGCATTTAGAATGTGGTACGTCAACGATTTTCTTTTTGTCATCCTAAAGTGTGAAAAACATTGTGTATGAATCAGAAGTAATTAATGATAGTTATATTGGAAACCTTTTATTACTGATTCAAATGTAGATGCAGCACCATGTCCGACTTTACTTATAAGCCTTATTATTCACAAAGCATCAGAGCATTTGTCTGTCTTTTTTCAAGTTAGTTTTTTAAGCATTTGCAAGTTATGTAATTTTGAAAATAATAATTGAAAAAATAATGAATTTAAATGCAAAACTAAAACTGCACTGTACATAAAATACACATTTTTACCCAACATTTAAATGAGCAAAAGTGTGTGTTATCATTTGTACTACTTGCTGTGAGCTGCTCAACCTCCTCTCTGTTAACAGAATAATTTTCCTTTCTCTCCTACGCTCTGCTGTCCAATCCAATTTTCTCTGCAGACATTTCAGACCCAGTGAAAATCCAACTCTTTTCATTCTGTACTTTTCATACTTTTCTACTTTTCATTTTTTCCCCCCCTCTAAATTCTGAAAGCTGCTTTTACTGTGAGAATCTTCAACTTTCAACCCATGACAAATGGTTCACCCTTTTCAAGTGTATTTACAGTATATAAGAGTAGTTGTTTTCCTCTGCATTCACTGGACTTTCTCTCTTTGTCCATCTTCACCCACTCCTCCTCTGTGCCCCCCCTGCAGCTGTCACTGTCAACTCCCCTCCTGTGAAGCTGAAGTGTGCTGTGGCTGTGGTGGCTAATCACAATGACACAGGATCATTTATGGCCTCTCGCTGAAACAATGTCGCTTCCGTCAAACCTACGTGTGACAGTTCAGAGTGACAGTGGACTCTGTGGAAGGGGACGTGGTGCGATGCAAATCATTTACCCAGATCTCTTGTATTCTCCTGTGTGCAGGTTTGTTTTACAAGGTCCAGAGTTTTGACACTTTCTGGGGGTTGAATATTTTGTTGCTGTAGATTGACACCAGTTTTCGTATCACTGCATTGAAAATAATATTGTGTCTGGTTTTGCTTCTCCATCTGTCGGTTTTACATCGCTGGCAGGCTCCTCAAGGCACTGTCTGGTGTACTGTCGGCTCAGGGGTTCTCCTGTGTGTGTGTGTGTGTGTGTGTGTGTGTGTGTGTGTGTGTGTGTGTGTGTGTGTGTGTGTGTGTGTGTGTGTGTGTGTGTGTGTGAGGATAGGGATTAGTACAGCCCCACTGGGAGGGACTAGTGTACCCATAGGCAGATAAGAAAAAAGAAAGAGCGCCGGCCCCAGGTGCAGAGGAGAAGTCCCCTCCTACAGAGAAGAGATTAGACCTAAAATCAATTACTGACCTGAGCAGGAAGAGAGGAAGGAGGAGAGGAGACTCTTTTTTCATTTCAGAGACTCAAACGTTTCCTGGCAGGCAGATTGAATCACTCTGTGCAGTAAACAAAGGTTATTTTAATTTGTTAACATATAGATTTTCTATCTGTTCTTCAGCCTCTGTTTTTCTCTATGTTGCAAACCCTGCCTCTAATTTTCTACTGTATCATTTATTTTCTATTATTTATGAGGATTTATTAACAGACTCATGCATGAAATTAAACTTGAGTTGTGTTTATTTCACAGTTAACTTCATCATGTCTGCACAGTTTTTGTGCTCTGGAATATAACTAATGTCACCTTTTCTGTCTATAAAATATAAAAATTATGGACAAAAACAAGATGTGATCTTAACAACATCAAAACACTTGTTTTGCTGATGAAAAATCCCCAAAAACTAAATTGAGAGAATCAGACAATATTGTACTGTGGAGGAATGATAAATCAATTATAAATCAGTTATCAGAGCAGTTCCTAAATTATTTTCTTCTGACTGACTTGAAATAATCAATTCATCAACAATTGTTTCAGCTCCAGTGCAAACTTGTCTCAACATGCAGAGTGCATCGCCATGCAGTGAGATACGCAGATGCAATGATGAAAAGTTAATGCACATTAGATTTTTACTTTGATATGTTGGCAACATATTTTTATAGCATATTAAAATCAGTGGCAGTCTGGAACAGCAGTAACATGCATGTCTAAAAATCTAAATGTGCAAAGAAGGTACTTAAAAATGATCAACAAATTGATCTTTATTAAGAGTTATTACTTGCAAATACATTATTATAGTTTAGTGTTGAATATTAGTGTTTAACGTGGAAGCAAGAGCTGCCTCATTGCTGAGAGTCTCCGGCTGAGAGTCAACTGTGAGCGAGGCTGCTTCAGGCCGGCTGTGTGCGCTCATTCCTACCAAAGACAAAAGAAGGAGCTGACGACTGCTCAGCTTTGATCCGGTGTCCTCGTCTCTTATCAGGCTAAATAAAAGCTGAGCCGACTGAAGACAGTTTCACTATTTCCAACCAAAAACAACCACACGTGGACTTGGCTTTAAGAAGTCATTGGACTATACATATTGTATTTCTTTGTTTCACACATGGTTGGGATCAATGTCAGGCTGCACGCAATGTGTGTTCACCCAAATGAATAACCCCATCATCTCTGAATGGCCCTGTCATCTTGGCATGTGTTTTCAAGTTCTTGGAAGCAAACGTGTTTGCTGTCCAACCCCTGGCAGGGAAGGGAGTGTTTGCATCAGACAGTGGATTCAAGCACATCTGTCACTTACACAACATCACAATCACAACACGGAGCCCACAAAGCCCCCGTCCTCTCCCCCCATCTCACAACTCAGAGCGGAAGGAATTCAGTGGTTGATTGCAAGTGCTGGCAGAGCATGTTGCAGCAGGTGAGGACAGGGGTTGTTGTTGAAGTGAATTAATTTGTAGCTACTCTGTGTGTGTGTGTGTGTGTGTGTGTGTGTGTGTGTGTGTATCTGCTGCCTCGTCCCTCAGAGACAATCCACCGGTCACATGAAAGGTTAAGAGCTGATTCACCTCTCATCCACACAGCTCCTCCTATAATCAAGCTGCAGAGACAGACTGTGCAGTCATATGATTTACCGTCACTGTAGTTGATGTTTACATGCCCCCATCATTATCACTGGACATGTCATCTTCTTATCTTTATTTAGGAATGAGCTGACAGCAGATAACTAAGTTCTTGCATCTTTTCGTGTGGCTGTCGTGTGATAAACAGCCGGTGTTTTGTCAACACAAAAGTTGTAATCTGGTGTCACAGGAACAGTTGCACACAAAATGTGTGATGAAGTCCATAAGGGGAAGTGTTAAGATTCTGGATAAAGATAATATTATTGACTATTGAAGAATGTCCCTCAGTACAGTGAAAGGCTCAACAGTCCTTTTATGAAAAATAACTATATCCAGATTTGTATTTATATTTTTCATAAATAGTCTAAATATCAGCTCTATCTTGCAATAAAGTGGAAAAATGGATCCGCCCTTTGATTCAGTTCTGCACCAAAATGTAATGGGTCCTTCCCCCACCCAGAATGCATCCTTCCACCAAGTTTCGTGGTAATCCGTTTAGTAGTTTTTTGTGTAGTCCTGCAAACAGACAAACAAACAAGTTGTTCCGTGAAGATATATTTACCATTTTACATGCAACACTCCTCGATCAGATGGAAGTATGGATTAATGGGAACGTGGACTATTGTATTGGTGGATATAATTTCAATGTATATCACATCATACAAAATAACATGAGATGACTTTGCCTTTTTATCTATAACCCCAGTTGGACTTTCCCCCCAGAAAATGTTTTTAAACTCTTACACAACAAAGTTATTGCAGAATTACTCTATTTTGACCTATGTAGTGTTACATTTGCTTCTCGGTTATGGGCAAATATCTTATCTTTGCACACACACACACACACACACACACACACACACACACACACACAC